ACTCAAGCTTATATTGTTCAGCACGACTTAAACCTGGAAAAAAAGGGGGGGGGCTTTGTGAGATGGGAGTTTGTTGAGGTTATTAAGCATCCAAGATAGTAAAGATGATGGACAACTAGGGAAGTTGCAGAAGAGTCTCACAATACACAGCAACTGGGCAATAAAAAGGCAGATGAAATTCAGTGTAGCTAATTCTAAAATTAATTACATAAAAAAATAAATATCTAATTTTACATACATGATAGTAGGCTCTGAATTGACTTTTACTGCTTGGGAATTGGACCTTTGGGCTATATAAAGATCTGTGAAAAGGGTAGCTCAGTGCTCAGCTGTCATCAAAGCAGCAAGTCACATTAGTAGGAAAGGAAGAGAGAATAAAATGGAAAACACCTTCAAGCCATTCTGTAAATCCACGGTGGATCTACATCTCCAAAACTGTGTGTTGTTATGGCTCCCCTAGCGCAAAAAGCACATAGCAGCATAGAAAAAAATACAGAAGGGTAACAAGAATGAACAACAGCATGGAATGGTTTTCCTGTGAAGAATAACTAACTAGATTAGGACTTCTCAGCTTGAAAGGAGAAAACAGAACAGAGGGAGGTTTTATAGAAATCTATAAAACAACGAGTGGTCTGAAGATAGTAAAGAAGAAATGGTTATTGACTGTCTCTCCCTAGAGCAAACCTAGGGGGTATCAAATGGAGTTAGCAGGTGGCAGGTTTGGCAGATAACCCCTCCTGTACAACATGTAGTAGTTCCTCATGCAGCAGTGGAACTCCCTGCCACAGGATGCTGCAGATGATAAATGGGCTCAGAAGCAATTGGACAAATTCAGGAGAGGAAAACCAGTTACAAAAATGCCATCTATGGCACTTCATGCCTTCCTGAGCCACACAATCATTTGCACAGCCTTTCGATGTGTTCTTATGAAGGCAACTCAGGTGTCCAGGCTAGGCCACTGCAGTGCTTGCTACTTAGGCATGAAACTGCAGGCCTCAAAAAGCTTCTGTACAGAATCACAAGAGCTCATCTCCTTGCTGATACCAGCCACTGAAAACACCAATGTGTTCCAATATTCTGATTTCTTCAATAGTTAATGCATCCATGGTTTTGCTTTGCTCCAAAGCCCTTCCTTCTGCTTTCAGCAGACGCTTTGGACTAGACAACCTCCAGAGGCTTCTTCCAACTCCTGATGTTTCTACGACTCTATAACTGCCATATAAATATATATAAAACCCACAATGTTAAACCATAAACCCATAAAAACTAAACAAAGCCAAACCTACATAGCTTTGCATACTCTAATGTTGACATGCAGACACGTCCCATGAGGGCAATGAAGAAATGTGTAATAAATAGATAACACCACACACTGATGGAAATAAGAGAAAAGGATATTATGAAGACCAACGCACATGAAACAAAGCAAGACGGGATTTAAGCACACAAGATTGCCAATATGTGTCACAGCTCTTATTTTATCATTCAGCTTTACTGGAGCAAATGATTTACAACACCGCAGTGAGAATCAAAAGATCCGGTCTGCAGAGGCAAAGCTGAGTCCAATACAAAAATATTTTTGCTATGTTTATTTTGTAATTATCCCACCGACACGCACTGCCAAGAGCTGGAGAGCTTGTGTCACTGCAGTCATTTTGAAGCCTAGTTAAGATAGTCTGTGAGTCTGCAATACTTCATAAATGGTTAAGCACAACTGACTTTTCACCTCTATTTTATTTCACAGAAACAATGCATTCTGGGGTGAGAAGGAGAGAAAGTTCAGGGAAAACCTGCAGTTCTCAAATGACATTGTCCATAATTTAACCAAAACAATAAGTAAATGCCATGAAACTTGTGCATATTCAACTCTCTGAAGAGACCAGCCCCTTCTTAAATAATGGGAAGAGAATTAATGAAGCCTACCTTCAGTGAAACACTCTTCAAAAATCTGTCTCTAATCTGTCTCACAAAGTTTTCTGTACACTATCATCACCTCTGTTTTTCCTGACAGTAGGACACTCAGTTATTCCAACATTTGGTTACAAGCACCATGAATGTAAACAATTAAACCTTTCATTTCTATTTAAGTATCAGTAAACAGAACCGAAAGACTTGGAGACAGAACCAGTGGAAACAGCATCAATTCAGAGCCCGTGGAAGCTCATTTGGCTTTCTTCCCATTAGGATTAACGTGGTAAAACCTGGAGCTGAGATGTTTGCAGAGCTGCCGGTTAATGCCACGCGTGAGCCTCACGATTGACACTGGAGCTATCCTGTGCTTGTTTGCAGATCTCCAGGACCAGTGCTTCCCACTGCGCCGGGAGACGGCCCCCCAGACCTGCTGAACTCCTTCTTGTGGAGGCACACTCCAGGCAGAAAGATGTTTCAAAGCCTCCTCTTCGTTAAAAGCCCCAGTCAGCTTTTGTCAGGAGCCTGGATGTTGGCGGGGTTCCAGGATCAGACAGACACATCAGCTCAAACTAGTTTTTGATCTCATGTTCAGATCAAATGTTATCTATATTATTAAAATATTGTGAAAAGGCTTTTTTTTTTCCTGTTCCAAATAATGAATACTAAAGTCTTTCACAGATTTGAACCAAATTTATCCTGTTGGTTGTCCTATCTGCAAGTGTCTAGTGTTGATAAAATGGCTGTCCCATAAATATACAATGCTATTCCATCATTTATTTTTGTACTACCATGAATATGACAGAAAATAATGAATCATAAGTTTAAACTTGCAGAGCCTGACTGTCCTAGGCATTGCTGTTTGTATGGTGAATTGCAAGCTGATGGAAAAAAAGCTGCTGGTCTGACCTCACAGTGTTTCACAAGGATTTTGACCAGGTACAAGCAATAACATGGAGCACAACTTTGGATAAATTGGGTCTGCTGTGTTCAGAGGGGCCTTGATCCAGAGGCCACGAAAGTCAGAGGAAAGACTACGTGGACTCTGAAGGAGTATAGAGCAGGTAAACACATGCACGCCATGACAAATCCTCCATTGGTGCTATTTCTGGTCCCAGACATTTCTTAAGAGAACAGTTTACCCAAAACTGCAGTAAGCCCGAACAGTTTGGAGGGCAGGAGGAGGCTGATTACCTCCTGTGCTCTTAGAGCTTGAAGAGATTTTCCTATTTATACATTGTGTTTAGCACAAAAGACAAGGTCTGCCTCTGGTACGTGCTATGATAGCATCTGACAAAGAGGAGACTGGGACTTCAGCCTGATGCCCCTTTCCCTGTGTGCAGAAAATGACAGCAAAAGGAAGAAGCCTTGAGGAGAAGCATCCTGACTCTTGACTATCCCTCTGGCCTCTTCTGGGTTGGGGGTGCAGGTTTAATGGGATCCCCCCTCCTCCCGGATAAACCCGTACTCAATCTCCCCCAAGCTTTCTTCCAGAATTGTTTGTACAAACTGTGCATTTACTTAAATGGGCCAGGAGAGCTGTTCCACTTTTTGTAACTATTATTTAGAGTTTGTGTGTGCTTTTTTTGGTGTTTTTTTTGTTTGTTTGTTTGTTTGAGTTTTTTGTTGTTTTATTTTTTTTTCAAAGCAGCAATTCTTCTGAGTAAAACTACCTGGTAATATAGCAAACATTTTTCTCCACAAATGCATTTTTATTCCATCCACCACAATGCCATCATGGTAGGTCTTCAGCATCTGTACCTGTATATAGCTTACATACAGCATTATACATACACCTTTGAACATGGTCATTGTCTCACTAGCTAGACCAGAGCTGCAATCAGCACCACTTCTCTGCCCAAAATGTAACTTTTCAGAACATGCATGATGCAATCTGTATATACAACTTAAATCCTGGTGATGGTACTCAGCTGTCATATTAACAGCTTTTTGCTTACTTTTTTTTTTTTTAAATACCAAATTAATTGGAGCAAAACAAGTTATCAAGAATGTGTATTTTAAAAACGTCACTTGAAAAGCCAGTAAAATTTGACTTGTTCTCCCTTTGGAGAGAGGTATTTGACAAAAACTGTGTTTTACTCAGAAAGAAGTATGCTTGCACTGGAAACACGGAAGATAAGTTTCTGCATTAATTATTTTTAACAGAAAAATAATAACCCCTTAAAAACAGGGAGCTGCCATATATTTGGGACTAGTGGTGTAGCAATATATAAAAACGCTAGGTTGTCTTCCTTGTTTTGTATTCCAAAAAGGTAAGCCCTGCATTGCCTGAGTTAGAAGTAGCAAACATTGTTCACTTGGGTTACCCCTGTCTACACAAGCGGTTCAGACAACAGCCCAGAAGGCTCCCATCCAACTGGAAAGGATGGGCTCTTTGAGGGGATGGGTTGAAAATGTTGGGTAAGGTTTCCGTTTTGGCACTTTCTGCATCCGGGACTGTCAAAGTAAGAGACGTAGCAGAGCTTCCTCTTCCCCGGGGATGAGTGAAGCTTTTTTCTGCCTCAGCACTGCCAGCTTTCCGAGGTTAGAAGGATCTGTGTGTGTCCTCCCAGGAAACGTCTTGCCTGACTCTCCTGGAGATGTGCTACTGGGACCTGCTGTGCTTTGAGCTGCCTTTGGAACTTGCGAAAGGGAAAGAAGACCCCTTTCTCCTCCCATCTTTCCTGATTTAAGGGAATTTCTCAGGAATGTTAAAGGAGTTTGATGTCACAAATTACTCTTCATTTTTTGCCAAAGAAAACTGGATTGTTATTTGCCTCTTCTGGTATTTCCTTCACCACCAGCCCAAGGGTCAGTCATAGAGACCATCCACCTTGCACTGCCATGGACGAGCCTCTGTGCTGATCACCTCCTCCAATACAAAGGTACAGGGCACAAGCTCAGGCTGCTTTACTGTACATAGTTTGGGGACACTCATCTCTGAGCGATCTGAGTGCTTTCTTCAAATACTTAGCATGCTCTGCTGCATCACCTCTCCTCAGCGAGGAACCTTCTGCAAGCTCAAGGTGGGCCCACTGCTGTCATTCACAAGTAGAACACGTTTGCCCTGGAAGGTGTAAGACAGAGAAACCTCAGATGTAAAACTCTTCTTCGTTCGCTGGTGAAGCTGGGCAAACACTACCATGACCATCCAGAGAACAAGGAGCTGCTCTCGAGGACTGTTTGGGCTGCTTGGAGAGAGATGCTGACACAAATGAGCTGGAAGACCTTTCAGAAAGAGAAGGCAGTGAACCATCAGCTGACTCAAAGGTATTGCACATGGCTGATGCAGGCCTTCCACTGGTGGCTGCCTCTTTAGCCTTACTGAGAGTCCGTTTCTGTGGGGGAAGAGAGGCTTCCAGGTCGTTGCAAAATCCATTAAGGGCAGAGTATGCAGAGACCACGGACAGGTCTGAGAAGGAAAGCTTCATCCCTGTGTCTACATCAGTCTCCTGTGCACCCTCCAAGTCGTCAATGTTAAGCCTGGGGCTGCATCTCCATGTTTTTAACCTGGTTGCAGGTGAGCCAGTATTTAAAAACTGAAATGGTTCACTGAAATGAAAAATCTCTGAGGCTGAGGAGCAGTTCACTGTGGGCAAGCAGAACAGAGACTTGCTTCGCTGAAATGACCACGAAATGCTGGAGGCACTGCTAGATCTGCGTGTGAAGTCTCCTCGATCACTGCGTCTCAAGTCCTGCTGGGAGAAACCAAGATAATGACCAAGGCCGTTTGTGTGATGTACCTTGTTTTGACCCATTTCTTTTGGTTGTTCAGGTACAGATCGGTGGCTCTGAGGAAGAAAGGCTGGCAGAGTGGTGAAGTGGGAATCTGTTGACACAGATGGATATGGTTGCTTGTTCTGCTTTGCAGTCTTCCTACACCAACTGCGTGTTTGCTGCAGCCGGGAGAGGGAGAAAAGAAGATCATATTAATACAGAGTTGGCAGTCTTACAACCGTAAGTCTCCGTTGCTGAGTTGTTACTGCAAATAATTATGAAGCAGACTTCATTCAGTATGCTTGCAGCAAATGTTTCACTTCAATAACAAAGAGAAAGCACCCTGCCAAAATCCCAAATATTTACATAAGAGGCCTTGAAGACAACAAGAATAAATGGTAGAGGAGCCCTGCCTTGCGGGCTGAATTACACTAGCTCGAAATTCTCACTTCCTATTGACTTGTTCAGATGCATTCATATTCTGTCTTCCAACATTACTGCCTTAGTGGACAGCTGAAGAAAAAAAATGAAGAAATGGGAGATGTATGTTACCATCATTATTATTTCTCATTTCTTCCTTACTGTGGTGTAAATGTCTTTACTTTTTCCTCTGAAACACCAAAAACCCTTCAGCAAGCAACCTCATACTCTGTCGTCTCAATGGGAATTTACTACTTCTTTCAACTCTCTCACATTTTGTCTTTCACATCTGGTTAGCTGAGCAGTGCGCTCTAGAACCCACTTGCTCTACTAACTAGCTCCCAATGACTTCAAGCACAGCTTTAAACATTGAATTTGCCTATAGACACCTCAACTGAAGACCTAACCTGATGGTTATGATCCGAGTCAGGACCTGAGTCTCACCCCTAGGGCAGGATTCAGTTGTCTACCTGCCAGATACTTGAGCGTTTGCACAGGGACAGCAGCTGTGACAAATGGGGAGCCAATGTCCTTCCCAAGAAGCAGCTGGGACTCAGGTGGTCTTCCTATGGGATTAGACACTGATGTGTGGCTAGCTGAACTGATGCCCTACTGTCCAAGCAATCATGAGATTTTCCATCATCCCACTTATCTCGGTAAGGCTTTCAGAAGTTTGCATTTTAAAAATAAAATTAATTTAATTCAAAATCTTCTTACTGGAATTTCTCACATAATGCAAAATGCTAAATTTCTGTCCCAAAAGGGACAGGAACTAATGGGAAAAAGTGCAGGATCATACCCTTGAGAATAAACAACAATTTCAGCTATGGGACTTGTCAGCTGGAAACAACAGAGGAGAAAGAACCAGGTATCTTGTTCACTATGTACTATTAAAGTGACAAGCCTGTGACAAACATGATTCTAGGCAGTCTCAAGTGAGTTAAAAAAGTATTAATGTAATGTAGGCCTCATCCAGAATGCTGTGCATGGCTCTAATCATGCCTATGTGAAAAAGAAAATCTGAAACTGGAAAAGATGCAGGCACAAGAAGAAAAAAAAAAAAAAAAAAAGATGAACTATCCATTAAAAAACCTGAATCGCAAACTAATAAAAGGTTTCTAATCACAACAGAAGTAGATGAGTCTTCTGAGGCGAGTAATGGATAAAGATGGAGCTTGATCATTTTACCAAAGAGATTATATGACATGACAGAAAGAGATGAGACCTGGCAACCAAGGAGGTCCTTTGTATCCCCTGCCTCTAAAAGAATTCCATACATTGCTGCTTCTGACATCTTGCTAGTGCACATCACATTGTCTCAGTGACCCAGATCTGTCACAACCATCTTCTGGTTTTTATTGCCAGGATTTTATAGGCAAAAAAGGATTTTCACATCTGCAAAAAATGTTTTGCTTATTTGTGATTGCCTAGCTAGAGGTGATTTACAGGACAGCCAAACCATAGGAGTTCACTTAGGTGTTGTAGCTATATATATACCAATGTATCTGTAATGAGGTATATTAATTCATAACCTATTTCTGTATAATATAATATAAAAAAGCTGATTTCCTTAATGCCATAAAGAATTAAATTAATTAATGGGGAAATTAACCACAGTAGTATACCAGTTTCATTAACTGATAAGAAACAGAGTACAAAAGACTCAAATAAAATGAGTCAAATGGTCAACAAAACATTAACCAGAAATCACTTTAGACCTCTACACTCAGCATTATTTTATTTGTGCAATACATGGATTAATTTGTTTAAAAAATTACTCGGCAAGATAAAAGGCTTGTGTCCATGAAGAAATTACCAGCTGTTTCTTAACTGAAGACGTTTCTGGATACCCCAGCAATAACAATATGACATGCTGAAAGTACACAACCAAATCCCCACATTCTTTTGATGGGTTTGTCGAAGAAAACACTCCTCATTATATTTTGTTTGCATTAACCAAAGGTACTATTTTTTTTCTCTTCAGCAGCTCTGATGTCAGATACGCTACATGGACTCAACCACCACGCTTGGTGAATCAACAGAAGCACCTCCAGAACACTTCTCCTACCTCTCAAAGTCATGGATTGCCTGACCATGGCTTGTTTTTATGCTACATTCTTGTGCTTTTGTAGACTTAGTTGATAACTGGCAGATCAAGCAATCAAAGAAACCAAGGATCCAAGCAAGTGCAGTCTTCTTGTAGGTGAAAAAGTAAGGAGGCCTTTGAGAGCACTGGGAACACTCGGTAACAACTCGGACAAAACCGCACTTGAAAACAGAAAGCTTTTGGGGACGGACCTGACACTCGCACTGGGGAGAGTTCTGCGGGCAGTACGAAAGCCTTGCCTTTACCTTGCACAGACCAGACATCTGTCTGTATGTATATGACAGAGCCCACAGACATCACGGGTAGGATTTAGTTGTCTAGTTAATACAACCAATGGAGTCCAGAGAGCAGTTCAGCCTTCCCTGAAGAAAATTCCTGTGGCTGAATTGCTTTCTAGGTCCTTGGGCTGCACTGAGTACATACCCATGGACTCCAGTGAGAACACAGACTGTAGCTCACACAAAAATACCTGCAGTTAGACATCAGTTTTAGGTGTCTACAATCTGGAGCTGAACGAAATCCTGCAGAGATAACTCCCGTGTGTTCATTTTGCTTTGGGGTATAGAAGAGGTATTTTGCACACTGGTAAAAGTCTCATGTATTTAGATGATGGTAATAATTTGTTATTCTTATTTGTTGACATAACTTTTGACACATGTTCCAAAGAAAAAGTAATTTAATTTGGTCTCTCAGGCCACCATTAGTGAGAGATACTGGGTCTGATTCAGTCATCTGATTGGAGGCATCTACTGTACCCTGCCTGGCCTGCAAGCACACGCACGGGCTGCTCCACGTCAGGGATTTCAGTGCCTGGGAATGCTCCTGGGCACGTTTAATTTATTAATACAGGTAAAGTCTTAAGCATTTGGGGAATAAAGCACAGACAAAAGAATAGCTGTTTGAGCTCTTTCTAATATTTATGAACCCTCCAGTTTAAATCAGCTCATGTTAGCTTTGCACTGTAGGTATGCAACACAATGCCTACAGGTGCAACCAAATTACCAGTACTCAGGAGGATGCCTAACCCAGGCATCACCTACGGCGGTGTGGAGCAGAGGGCAACACCAGGATAAATGGATGAGGTGAGATGAAACACTCCTGCTAGAAACCCTGGGGGGCTCTCATGGAGGAACTTTCTAACCAAAATGCAGGTACAAAGTAGAGACTCAAAGAAAGGGGAAATGCACTTCTAAGAGGGAGCACTTGGAAGGGACAACCTGCCCTGTGCAGCCGAATAGCTGTAAGTACCTGACTAACTGGAACATGCTTACACTAACAAGAAAAATCTACTTTAGGCAAGACATTAGTTTTAGGGTTTTGCTATTTTAAACTTTTTTCCTAGCTCTTCTAATGTTCCTGTGGACAGGTAAGAGCATTTCATTTTATACAAGGTATTTGCTGTTATTCCTGCTACTGGGTCACAGCTCCTGGTCAAGCCCCGTTGGCCTGGCAGGAGGTTAACGGTGGATCAGCGAGGAGAAGGGGACAAGTGCAGCCTGGCCTTAGGCTGGCTGCCTGCAGGGCAGGCCAAGAGACATCGCTAACACAGCTTATATCTGTGTTATATACAGCTTAGCTCTGTTTATAGGAGGAATTGTTTACCTCAGTCTTTTTTGTTTAGACGTGTTACGATTTACAAGACCTATTTTCCAGTGCTGCTCTTCATGATATGGGGAGAAAGGGGAAATAATAGGAGGAGATTTTTTTAATACTTTAATCTTAAAACAACATAACTGAAGACTTTCCTGACTGTGAGAATATCAGACTGTACAACTGTTCTACAGGTGGAGTGTCAGAAGCTCCATCTCATGAAATACTAGTGAATAAAGATTACAGGCTAATTCTATATTGTAGAGAACTGGATTATGTGGACTAATAAGACTTTTCTATATCTACATTCTGTAGCTTGTCAGAGATCACAGAGAGGATTCAATGGTTTAGCCAGGATTAAAACTCGGGCAAAATTAGCTCCTAGTCCTGTGCCAAGGCCATTGACCGTACTCCCTCGTACCACCCTGGCATGGCATACGGAGAGCTGTATGCAGCCTGTGCATTTGTGAGATCGCTCTTCTTTGTTTTAACCTTACAGTGCCTGACAGTCCCACCAACTTCAAACTGGATTTCCAGGTGTGACCGCTCGCAGGAGAAACCACGACAAGCAAGCAGGAGATGCCGATCTTCCACTTCCCTTTGTGCTGTGGGATGCTGAAAACAGCAAGAACTATTTTTGTGCCTTGAGGACAGTGTGATGCACATGCAGCTACTCTTTTCAGCAGAACAGCCTTCTCTCACCTCCTCAGTTCTGCCCTTGGCTTTGGAAGCAGTTGCATCTGCTTTAGTTTTCTGAATTCTTTTCTAAGTCCTTATCTTCAGCCTTCTCACAGCTTGCTTTCTGCATCGCTTGTTACCTCGCTGCAGCCTGGCAGAGCCCTGCCTGCTATAGCCATGCTGCCTGCGTCAGGCACAAGCGCGGCAGAGATGCTGGAGAGGGGGTCAGCCATCTGAGCTGACAAAGACTCGATCCAAACCAACACATTGATTCGGACTGAAATTTCAAATACAGGGAGAGAGATTTGTCAGACCTCGCCACAAAGACGCACAACAAACCCGGCCATTGACTGAACAGATTAGCTCTCTAACAGAGCAGATTTT